TCTTCTTTAATTTCTTTTTTCATTGTCTTGAAGCTTTCATTGCAGATGTCTTTTCATATGCTTGGTAAGGTTTATTCTAAGTACTTAGTTTAGGGGAGCTATTGCTAATGGGATGTTCTTCCTAATTTCTTTCTCAACAAGTTAATTATTATTTATATTTATAAAAGCTGCTGTTTTTTGTATGTTTTTATGTATGTAGATTTTGCAACTTTATTGAATGTGTTTATTAAATGCAGGAGTTTTCTGGCAGAATCTACAGAGTTTTTTAAGTGTACAGTCATGTCTGTAAATAGGGATAATTTCATTTCACTTTTAACCTTTAAACTTTACATATTTCTCTTATTATTTTAACTAATGCTTTGAATAAATAATAACAACACTGAACACAAGAAGAGAGGTGAACACTCTTGTCTTGTTTCAGGTTTTAGAGGAAATGTTTTCTGCTTTTCCCTGTTTAGTATAATGTTGGCTCCCGGTTTGTCATGTATAATCTTCACTGTTTCAAGGTAGTTTTGTCTAACCCTAACTTCCTTCTCCAGGACTTAAAAAGCACATTCATTCATTCATTCTCTCTCTCTCTCTCTCTCTCTCTCTCTCTCTCTCTCTCTCTCTCTCTCTCTGTGTGTGTGTGTGTGTGTGTGTGTGTGTGTGTGTGTGTGTGTGTGTGTGTGTGTGATTCTCTTCCGCTCTGTGGGCCCCAGGGGTAGAACTCAGTCACCAGGCTCGGCAGCAAGTGCCCTGACCCACTGAACCATCCCATCAGCCCTTCTCTAGAGCTTCTGCCGTGAAGGCGTGCTGACCCTTGTCAAATGTCTTTTATGCATCTATAGAGACGATCACATGATCTCTGCTCTAAGATCACTTTTATGGGTCTATTTCTAAGTTCTGAGGTTAAGAAGCTTGTTCTGGAACCGTGAGACCTGAGTTGAGATCCAGCGCTTATGTATAAGTCAGATGTTCCCATGAACTCCAGCAATGGCAGCTCTGAGACCCACTGTCTTCTTTTCACTTGTCCGCTCACCAACGGCCATTCTGACTTGGGTGAGATGGAATCTCAGAGCAGTTTAGTTTGTGTTTCCCTGAGGGCAGAGGATGCTGGGCACCGTTTCCAAGTATTTCTTGGCCATTTGCAGTTCTTCTGAGAACCGTTCATTCATTGTTATCTCATTACTGACTATCTTGGTGTTCACTTTTTTGGTCCCCTGTTTTTCCAGGTATTAATCCCCGTCTGCCGTGGAGTTGGTAATGGCTGTTCACTCTGATGACTGTTTCCTTTTTTGGTCCCCTGTTTTCCCAGGTATTAATCCCCGTCTGCCGTGGAGTTGGTAATGGCTGTTCACGCTGGTCACTGTTAGCTTTTGAATTCCACAAACTCTCATGTGTGGGTCCCAGAGCTACTTCCTGTGCTACTGGCATCATCTCCAGAAAGCCCCTGCCTGTTCTTGCATCTTCAAGTATTGCCTTGTGTTTTTCTCTAGCGCTGTCAAGGTTTAACACGAAGGCTTTTGATCCACTTTTGTGCAGGCTGTGTGTATGAGAGAGAGATGCAGCTCTCTGTCCACATGTGGATCCCCAGCTTCCCCAGCACCGTTTCTTGAAGAGGTCGTCTTTGTTCCAGTGTATGTTTTTTCTCTCTGTTGAGGATCACTGGCTGGGTTGGCTGTTTATTCTCTTGTTCACGTGTCTGCTCTGACGCAGCGCCACACTGTTTCTGTTCTATGACTCTGCGTAGTCCAGATCAGGTGGTGTGACGCTTCCAACATTACTCTCCAGGCTCAGGGTCACTCTGGACTTTCTGGGTTTTGTGCTTCCTTATGATTTTCAGGATTTTTTTTTCTAGTTTCATAGACAATGTAATTGGTATTTTGATGGGGAATGACTTGAATTTGTGGATCACTTTCAGGAATCTAGTTGTGTTAGTTAGATTTTGCTACCCTGCTGTGATGAAACACCATGGCCAGAAGCAACTGGGGAGGAAAGGGTTTATTCGGCTTACACTTCCACACTGTAGTTCATCACTGAAGGAAGTCAGGGCAGGAACTCTGGCAGGGCAGGAGCTGATGCAGAGGGCATGGAGGGGTGCTGCTTACAGACGTGCTCCTCATGGCTTGCTCAGACTGCTTCCTTATAGAACCCAAGACCACCATGGGCTGGACTCTCCCCTACCAATCACTAACTAAGAAAATGCCCTACAGCCGGATGGTATGGAGATATTTTTTTTAATTGACGCTCCCTCATTTCAGACAAATTTAGATTGTGTCAAGCTGACATAAAACTAGCCAGCAGACTGGCTGATTTTCCGATGTTGGTTTTGCCATCCTTGAGTGCAGGAGATCTTTCCCACCAGCTGCTGTCTTCCGTCTCTTCCTCCCGTACCTGCACTGCAGGGTCCTTCACCTCTCTGTCAGGCTTTCTTCATTGTGAATGAGACCTTTTTGTCTGCTTTCTTTCTCAGCAAGTTTATCTCTAACAACTAGAAAGGCTGCTGACTTCTGCATGTGGATTTCCTACCCTGCGATTTGCTGAGAATGAGCGTTCAGTCTAAGAGTTTTTTGGTGGAGTCCTTTAAGGATGGGTTCCTGTTGTCTTCAGACACTCTGATTTCTTCCTTTCCTACTTGTACTCTCTCTGCTTCTTCCTTGTGCCCAGTCCTCTTTCCAGCAGATGCTCCCCCTGTTAGATCACCACCCCTGGGGACAGGGTCTTTGGTGTAGAGTAAATGCCTAACATTGGCTCTCAAATTCTCATGTATCAGAACCTCATTATTGTCTTATAAATTATTGAGGACTCCATGTAACATGTTTTTGTGGGCAATACTGATATTAGGCTAGACATTAAAACTGTGAGTTATATACATGAGCATATAAGAAAACATTCTGCTTGTCATCAGAGTTATATCCCACAGCACATAGTTTCTAGAGCATCCTGTAATATACTCCTGAGAGAACAAGATTAAAAACAGTAAGTAACAACTTAATGTTATTATGAAAATACATTCTTTCTTATGGTCGCCTTGAAGAAGTCTCAGGCTCCCCAGAAATCTCTAGGCTGCATTCTGAGGGCTGAAAAAGCTTTTCCAAGTCTCACTTGGAGAAGAAAATTACATTTTCCCTGATTCTTTTCTGTAAAGTATGTAGACATCAATTTTCCCTATAGGTTAGCATAACTTTTTTGCACTTAGTCTATTTTTAGTCAATAAATGTACGTGATAAAATGTCTCTTTAAGAATAAATCTTTGAAATGATATTGGAAGCCACTGCAGAGATGGAGTTCACTTCAGAAAACTCCTTTAGAAACTTAATAACACTGATAACAAATGAGAAAAAGCCGTATGTCTAATAGGAAATTTAGCATTAACAGTTCAATTCTAAGCTGGGCATGTGGTGCAGGCCTGATATCCTAGCTACTTAGGATGCTAAGACAGGAGGAATCCCACATTCAAAATCTATCTGTGCTATAGAATGAGTTCAAGGCCAGCTTGGGCAACTTCGCAAGACTTGTATAAATAAAAAACAAAACACAAACAACAGAAAGCTGAGGTAGAGCTCAGTGGTAGAGTGATGGCCTAGCATTTGAGAGGCCCAAGTTCAAACCCTTGTATTGCCAAAATCATGATGATGATAACAATCTTATCCACACAAAGGTGTAATTTAGGACCATCACGTTTCTTTAGGAAGCTGTATTGTTTTGCCTTGTGATCTTGCCTGGGTCTGGCTAGGGAAAGGGAACTTGTTCTTCTCTCCAGTCACTCCACATCCACAGTAATAGAGCTCAGAGCACCACCCTATGACACCTGCAGCATTTCCACCCAATAGCCACAACCCTTCCCCCCTCTGGCTCCACGCCCTTACAACCCACTCCTGCAGACACTCTGGTTAAGAGGTGACTTCTGTCATCAACCTCTAGAGTCTAGTCTGGTGGCCTGTGACTTGCTGCAGTTCACGTGGCACTATGGCGGGCGTGACACAATGCAGCATGATGATCACCTGTCCTGGGTCTCCCTTTCTTGATTCACTTGTCACCATGATGACAACCAAGGGGACGTGAGGAAGCCCGAGCTACTTGTGAAAGAATTAGCGGCCATGCGCAGGACAGAGGAGCTGTAGCTCCTGGCCAGATGTTCAGCACACCTGCTAAGGAGGCCACCTGGATCCACCTTCCTGCTAACCTGGGACCTGCTTCCAGACCTCTAGGTAAACTCGAAGCATCACAAGAATTGTTTTGTTTTTGTTTTTTTTTTTGGTTTTTCGAGACAGGGTTTCTCTGTGTAGCTTTGCGCCTTTCCTGGGACTCACTTGGTAGCCCAGGCTGGCCTCGAACTCACAGAGATCCGCCTGGCTCTGCCTCCCGAGTGCTGGGATTAAAGGCGTGCGCCACTACCGCCCGGCACATCACAAGAATTGTGTAGCTCCAACTGCCTACAGAATGGTGAGCTAAATAAATGCATAATTTGTTTTTTTTTTTTTTTCGTTTTTCGAGACAGGGTTTCTCTGTGTAGCTTTGCGCCTTTCCTGGGACTCACTTGGTAGCCCAGGCTGGCCTCGAACTCACAGAGATCCACCTGGCTCTGCCTCCCGAGTGCTGGGATTAAAGGCGTGCGCCACCACCGCCCGGCCATAATTTGTTTTTTAAGTGCAAGTTGTGGAAAATTTTACTACAATGAAGGCTAACGGATACTTCAAACTACTTTTTATTTGGGACCACTCGGGCCTAATTCTGCTCGGTCGGTCCTTAAGTTCCTGCTTCTTGTCTTCAGCTTTTGTGCTACAATGTGAGCAAGACTTTCAGGAAGAACAGTAGTGCTGAGTGAAATTCAGGCGGAGCAGTCTGCACGTCCGCTTTGTCCTTCTTCTTAAACAATGTCACCAGAATTCACTGTCACATTTGCCAACTCTCATGATGACTGTTTCACAACAAATAGGGTCATATACCTGTTGCAAGGTTACCAGTGCTCCTTGGCTGTCTACGCACTCACACGAGGTAGGAACGTGCTGGCTTACCTGAGACTTGAAGTAAGTTTCCTGTGGGGTGGCAAGCACATCCGCAGACGCGATGTCCAGATGCATGAGTGTCTGCCGAAAGGAAGGCCGGTTACGAGGCTTACTCTGCCTAAGAGAAAGACAGCGTGTGCATCTCAGAGGGTGTGTTGGAAGGGAGGGGGCTGAGGCTGTATTCTGCTTTATAAAACACACATTTTATCCCAAGAATGGCTGTATCTCCGACAGTTTGGATGTACTGAAGTGCAAAGGGGATGTACCTAGGATGGGCATCTACTGAAGACACGGAAAGTCAGGTCTGTGATCTGCGAGGAACAGAGACGTAATCCTGGCTCTCAGGTGTTAGGGCTGAGAGCTGCTTCAAGACATCACAGCAAACCCTTCCCTTACATTTTGGTCAGTCACACACAACTCCACGAGTAGGGGCTGGCTCTACTTTACAGGGAGATATACACCCCTGATTTCACAGGGAACACAAAGTCAGAGCCAGGATTTGAACCCAGCTCTAAAATTCCACAGCTCCTGTCACCACCACAATGTGGCTCCTTCCAAATACCCTGTAGAGATCCTCCGCTCGTTTAGGGAAATTTTAATAGCTTTTTAGGAAGAAAGCAAGAGAGATTAACAGAAGAAATGCATTATTTACCATGTCTGTTTCATAAGGATTTTGAATCCATCTGGGCAAGTGGAGGGAACTGGGAGGTGCAAGCTGTTGCTCCCAACACCCCAAATGATGGCTGAGGAGTCCACATCCTTGTAGGGGATCTCCCCTGTCAGCAGCTCCCAAAGCACCACTCCAAAAGACCTGCAGCAGGCCAGACACAGAAAGCAGTTCAGAGGGACGGACTCGAACTTTAGCTCTTTAACTAAAGGCAGGGTAGATGGTGTGTGCTTGTAATCTTAGCACTCAAAGGCTAAGCTGGGAGGATCGTGAGTTCAAGGACAGTCTGGGTACACAGCAGGTTTCAGGCCACCCTGAGCTGTATGGTGGGACCTACATCATCAAGGGTGGTGATATATTGTGTATATCACCCAATGAATCTTACCTGGGATCAGAGGACAGAGCCAGCCACTAAATAAGACATAGAAGTCAAGCAGTGGTGGCACACACACCTTTTGCTCAGGAGGCAGAGATCCATCTGGATCTCTGTGAGATCAAGGCCACACTGGGCTACATGAGAGAAACAGAACCAGGCAGTGGTGTATAGCCTGGCTAGCTTAGTCAGTAGAGCGTGAGACTCTTAATCTCAGGGTCATGGGTTCGAGCCTCATGTTGGGTGCCACATGTAACACAAATCTTAAATGGTCTTATTAATAAAAAACATTCGGAGCCAGATATTGGGGTGAAAACTGGAAGATCAGAGAAGCAGAACAAGCCACAGCCAACTTCACCTCACCAACTTCTCAACTGATCCTGTTTCCTCAGACTGAAAGCCTCTGATCCTCACCTGAATGGATCTCAGTTGAACTGCTGCTATAAGCCTAAAAGCTTAAAAGTCTCTCCAGTTCCTGGTCCTCACGCCTTATATACCTTTCTGCTTCCTGCTATCACTTCCTGGGATTAAAAGCATGTGTCTTTCCCAAGCAAGACATGAGATCTCAAGTGCTGGGATTAAAGGTGTGTGCCACCATGCCTGGCTGTTTCCAGTGTGGCCTTGAACTCATAGAGATCTGGATGGATCTCTGCCTCCCAAGTGATAGGATTAAAGGTGTGTGTGCCACCATTGTCAGGCCTCTATGTCTATCTAGTGACTGTTCTGTTGTCTGACCGCAGATAAGTTTATTAGGGTTCACAATATATTGGGGGATACAATATTACCACAATGTTGACACATGCCTTTAATCCCAGGAAGTAATATGGCAGGACACAGAAAGGTATATAAGGTGTGAGGAAACAGGAACTCGCTCTCTTTAGGCTGAGGATTTCCTAGAGGTAAGAATTAGTGGCTGGCTGCTCTGCTTCTCTGATCTTTCAGCTTTCACCCTGATATCTGGCTCTGGGTTTTTATTAAAAGACCATCTAAGATTCAAACAACATTTGGCACCCACCGCTGCCACCACTGCCTGACCTCTATGTCTAATTTAGTGGCTGGCTCTGTCCTCTGATTCCCCAGGTAAGCTTTACTGGGGTACACAATATATCACCACAATCAAGAACAAGTAAATTTTTTTAACATATTTTACTCAAAAAGTGAGACTTATGCAATGCATTTCATAAAGCCTTCTACACTAAACTGTTATTCAAAATAAACTTCCAGTTTTCCTGAAAGTTTAGCATATTCATGGAGATGCCTCAGAACCGACTGGTTACTGAATATTCACACCAACTCCTCTCCTAATTCTTCTTGGCATATATCATACAGGGGCTACCCTGAGAGAATCTGAAACCAGAATCAACCAGAGGGAAAAGCACAGAAGAACATTCCAGGAAGGAAAAGCATGGAGGGCAGAAAGCAGGCGGAAGTGGGCAGGGGCCTCTGCGATGGTCGGGGAGCAGCACTCACCATATGTCAACCTTCTCGGAGACAGGCTCATTCCGGATCACCTCAGGTGCCATCCACGCAACTGTACCAGCAAAGGACATCTTGGTGCTTTTATCACTGAGTTCCTTAGATGTACCAAAATCTGAGATTTTGACTGCATCTGTATGAGTCACTAAAACACTTCAAAAGGAAATAAAGACAAGAGACAGATCATTAGTGCTGACGAGAGCTATGAGTCTAAGCAGTGACTGCCACTTCCTCTTCTACACTACAGAGTTCAGCTTTCAACTCCTGTTGTTCCTGGTCCTCACACTAGAAACAGCATCACCTTGCACCTGCCAGGAAGCTCAGTCCCCACCACTAGCTAACTGTGACTTCTGCTGGGTCCCCCTCTTCTAGGCCCATTTTCTCTCTATAAATACCATGAGCTGGACCGTGGCATTAGGTATGCATCATATTCAAGGGCTAAGAGGAATGCTGAGTCTTCTCCATGCCAAGGGTGAGTGCTAATAAACTAAGTTCAAGCAGGTTTCATGCAAGACAAGCTTTGCTTTTCATGAAAGCCACTTACAATGTGCCCTGGAACAAACTGCTTTTGCTAGTCCTAGTGGTGTGTAAAATCAGAATATTGATAGCCCCCCACTACACCGCTCCACCTGAAGAAACTCATTCAACGCGTTAGAACGTTAGTGAGTTACGGTGCTGGGCCCTAAACAATATAGAAACCTATTCAACAACATGAGCCAGGTGTAGGGGCACACCTTTAGTCCCAGCCCTCCAATAGAGGCAGGTGGATCTCTGAGTTTGAGGCCAGCCTGGTTTACAGAGTGAGTTTCAGGCTATCCAGGATTATACAGTGAGACCCTGACAAAAAACAAACAAATCTATCCACTCCAACCCTCTGCCACAAAAAAACCCCAACCAACAAGAGCCATATACTCAAATAGTATCTGACTAAGAGGGAAAGAAGACTGGGGAATCTGAACTCCATCCCCTCCATTCTGTGTGCCTTACCCACACCCCAGCTACCAAATGGCTCTCTGCACACTGGGCAGCCTTGTGCTAGGACTGCTTTGGGATGCCTTCATCCATAACTACCTGGAATTTAAAACTAACATCATTTAGGACTTCCTGACTTTAGTCTTGGTGAAAGTGCATGACAATTAGAATATTATGGGATAGCTGAGGCAGCTCAGCTAAACTGATGATGTCAGATACCATGGTTAGAACACGTGATGGTTACTAGACAGAGAGACACTGGGGGAGCCTCCTCTGCAGCAGCTGACATGACGTGAGGGAATGGACCTGGGTAGAGATAAAGATAACAGAATACTGTAACTGGAGCTGGGAGATGCTCGGTGGGTAAAGGGCTTGCTGCATAGCTTGAGGACCTCAGTGCAGACCCAGCATCCACATAAAAGCCAGGCTCAGTGACACCAGGGGGTGGGGTAGGCATATCCAGGGGGCTTGTTCACCAGCTAGTCTTGCTGAATTGGTAAGCTTCAAGGTTCAGTAAGAGACCCTGTCTCAATAAATAAGGTGAAGAACCATAGGAAAAGACAACCAGGGTCAACCTCTGGCCTCCACACGTATGCACACAGGCTAGCACACTGGTACACACACTTGTACACACAGAATCAACATACACATGCACACACAATGGAACTTTTCTGAGATGAAGGTAGGGTCACACTGACTATAAATTTAAGTAGCCAGATTTACCGTTGTCTTCTTCAAGTTTGCCTAAAAACCAAGGAATCTGAGTCCTGACCCCAAGAGTCTGAGCTGAGTACCAGTTTCCCTTATATACAATAAGAAAAATGGTATTATTACATCTAGCTCATGACTTTTGCCAGGATCAAAGAGGATGTGATGATGGACAGAGCTGTTGAAAACCATGAATGAATAATGGGAATGTGTTTTTGTTGTTGCTGACTTTCTTTTTGAGATGGTGGCTCATGTGGCCTAGCTCTAGAGAAGGGGCTAACTTCAAACTCCTGACCCTCCTGCCTCTACCTCCTGAGTGCTGGGCTGTCGATGTGCATCACATCTCTAAACCAAAATGTGATGAAAAGCAATGTTTAGGATAGGGACTACTGGGAAGATGCCATTTTATCAATTCCTCTCTTTTATGCAATGTGGGGAATTGAATAAATATTTCTCGTAAAGTGGCTATCAGTTCTCAATTATCATTTGAAAGTAGAAGGTACTAGAAAGAACTCTGATGTTTACATAATTAATTTTCTTATACCACTGCAAACCTCGTATCTGCTCATTTCTTCCTCTCAGAAGCTCAAAGCCCAATTTGCAGTCCACCTCAGATAACTGCACAGAGCCTGTGGCATGCATCTGTGAACTCGCCTCTCCCTCCCCCTCCCTGTGCTGGGGACTAAAACAAGGACTCCACTGCTGAGCTGTATTTCCAACCTGCCACTGCTTCTCATTCGGCCATCTTTATTCTGTTGTGATACAAACCTTTCTGAAAGTCAGTTTTTTTTTTTAAACATAGGAAAACAACAAATCAAGCTTTCAAACGGGGGAAGGCTGGCATTCATTGTTTGAGGTGATGAAAGACGGATACTTCAGACAGTAATGACATTTGCTGCACAGCTGTACAATCCAAAAGCCACAGAAAGGGAAGGCTTGAGTTAAGTCCCTGGCCGTATCTCCCACGTAGAAAAGTGATATGCAGTTACCCACCGTGTGACTAAAATCAAGTTACAAGTCTGAGAACCTCAGCTTTGTTGGACAAAAACTCAGTTCAAAACAACAAAGCAGGTGAACAGTGGGCTCTAGCACTCACTTTGGTGACTTGAGATCACGATGTATGATTTTATGGAGATGGAGATAATTCATCCCACTGGCAATCCCCGTGGACCAGTCCACGAGCAACCGAGGTGTGATCTTCCTGCCAGCTCGCAAGACCTCATAAAGCTGTCCATGGGCACAGTACTCCATGATGATGCAGTAACATGGGGCCTGAGTGCACACACCCCTTTGAAGAAAACACACGTAAGTCACAAAACAGACAAATATACACGTATACATATCTATATGTTTAATACGGGTCCACGCCTTACCCAAATGACATCAAAACTCATACAGATAACAGTTCTTGACTCTTAAGTAAGCACAGTACTTTCTAATCTATCAGTTTCCCTGGTATGCACACAGGCAGTTTCTGTTTTATTCTTAAGTTTAGATAGCAACAGGCTGAGCTAATCTGGCGGTCTCATGTGACACCACTCCACTCTGGGACAAAGTACTCTTTTCTGAGGCTTGGATAAGCTGAGTGCTCTGTTGTTTTTGATCATTAAAATATTTCCTCTTGCCGGGCGGTGGTGGCGCACGCCTTTAATCCCAGCACTCGGGAGGCAGAGCCAGGCGGATCTCTGTGAGTTCGAGGCCAGCCTGGGCTACCAAGTGAGTTCCAGGAGAGGTGCAAAGCTACACAGAGAAACCCTGTCTCGAAAAACCAAAAAAAAAAAAAAAAAAAAAAAATATTTCCTCTTAAACACAAACTGATTTTATATGTAATGTGTGGAGGATTGAAATTAAGGTTTTCTATTTTTATGATTGCTTGTTAAATTTTAAATTACTCAAATTTAAAATAACTAGACCGAGAAAACAAGAGAGAAAGAGAGAAGGAGAAAAGTAAGCAAATGAGTCAAATTTTTATCTTCCATACAGTTCTATGAAAAACATTTAGAATAAGGATAACATTATGTCATATTGTACATCTACTCAGGTGATAGTCCCATGAATTCCTGTATCTTCCATCAAATGTTTCCTGACTAGTCAAGTCCAAAGGGGTCTTCCTCTTCTCTAAGCAGCCTTGAGTTCAGGATCTCTTTCCTAGCAGGCCTGGAGGTTCCCGGCCAGTCCGTGACGTGTCTAACTTTACTTCAGCTCTCACAGCCGACAGGCCTCACAATCACACTGGGGGGACGTGAGTAGGAGGAATGTACTATCAAGAAAGAAGAATGGTGTCACCCACTTCATTTTCACCGAAAATACAAAGTCCGTGGCAGAGTTAGAACCAGAAAAACAATTAGCTCCATCTTCTCTTTCACAGCAGCCATCACCTGCGTTCAGTCCCTCACCACCCAATACACCCCTCCTTGTTCTCCTGTCTGCAGATGGCACTGGACCCACTCTCTTATCATTTTCTAGGATGCCTAGAATTCTTGATTTTTAATGGAAATGTTTTAATTTTTTTTGGAAAGTTCAGTGAACAATAACTGCAAATAGATAATTTACCATTGCATAGAAACTATGTGGGGCCGGGCGGTGGTGGCGCACGCCTTTAATTCTAGCACGCAGGAGGCAGGCGGATCTGTTTGAGTTCAAGGCCAGCCTGGGCTACAGAGTGAGTTCCAGGAAAGGTGCCAAAGCTACACAGAAAAACCCTGTCTCGAAAAACCAAAAAAAGGAAGAAACTATGTGGGAATGCTGTAATACATGTGAGAAGGCAAGGGTAAATGTGCCTGGTGGACTCAGCATCCACTCAGCTGCCACCCAGACAGACATCTTGTGAACTTTTCTTCTCACCATCCCACCAGGGCCTCTACTGCGACAAGGCTCCCAGGCAGCTGGAAATAACAGCTGTATCCTCACTTCTACTTGCTACCTTTTCTTCGCTTGGGATTGAATTTTATTAGAAACAGGTTGGGTTTTCTTAAGAAAATAAGCAGGAAAAATAACTGTTGTATTCTTATACTTTCCTTTTGTGTGTGATTCTTACTAATCTCAAAAGAATTTGTAAACAGAGAGAAAAATGTACTAAAATCCAGCCACGCCTTCCAGATAGTCCTGAATGGGATTCGCTGACCAAAGTAACAAACGGCACAGTGGCTGGAAACATGACACTGCACAATGTCCTCGAGTGGGTGTCATCGCCTCATTACTGTCAGCTTAGGGGAGGTGGGGGAGATCACTCCAATGTGTTCAGCTTAGGGAGGTGGGCCCCAGAACAGCTACTCAAACCAATAATGCTGGAGGATGTGGCGCAGGCAGAAGGTTGGAAGGGCAAGGAGGGGAAATGGTAGGAAGGAAAAGAGAGCAGCTTGCTGTCTCCTCTCAGGACAGTTTCCACCCTCTGTTACCCAGGCAAGCTCCTAGGAAGCTCTCTGACACACAGCTCCCTGCATTCCAGAAAGCCCAAAGGCACAGCACAGTCCATCCCAGGGATCTGCGTTTCAAAGCTCTCGGCACATTCTTCCATGAAGGATGCTGCATCACAGGGTGCAGAAGGCACCATCACTTCAGGGAAGGAAGATGGAAGAGAGAAGGTGGTCTCCATTTGCCCGTCTGCTGAAAGTTATACTCCCGTTAAGTCGAAATTTATTGGCTCTAGACAATTTATAGTTAGCCTCTGTATCTCTTCATTTTTATCAGGGCAGCCGATGACAGAACTCTGACAGTGGCTGTCCTCTGCACTCCAGCTGGTGTGCCGCCTCTTCCCACCTCCCTTCCCCGCCGTGAGGGCTCTCATAGGGAATCAAAACCACATCCCACAAAATTGTACTAAGAATTAACTCTATTGCTTTCTTTGGAGATACAAACCCAATTAAGACTTATCAGTCACATGGCTTCTTTCCTCATGATAGTAGTTTCACAGAGGAAGAGCCCTTGGGAAGGCTGGGGAAAGTTTCTCCTACGTTAAGGAAGGAGAATTTGTAAGTTTTTCCATGTTTACTAAAGCCTCATTGGCTATACCATACGATCTCCCAGGGGTTTAAAACACAGTCAAACATGCCAATGATCACTCCCCATCTTTTGTCCCATTTGGGCCATAGTGCCTGTTCTGATTCTTCCTCTTTTAAAGCCAATCCCTTTCACCTGTCCAGGCTTAGGGGATGGACGGCATAAAGACAGATAGGGAGGGAGCCCAAGGGAGTGGCTCAGGGGGCTGTAAACCCGGCTGAGCTCAGCACTTCCAACCTCAGCGCGGCAGTGCATTGGTACAGTGTGAGCACAGCTGCCTTCCAACTCCAGTGGTTTCCACAAATTTACCTTTGATTGGCCTCTTCAATTAGGACCCTTCTTAAACTGTGGATTGTAACCCCATGTGGGGTTGCATACCTAAATGTGTGGGGGGGGGGGTCAGAAAACATCTGGCAATGGTAACAGGTTTCTGAATGTGCAATGAGTAAAGCTAACCCAAAATCAAATGTACAGTGAATTCGACTGCATCACAGCTTCCCTGCAGCCCTGCTTCCCATTACACTGTGACCGCCATCAGCCACATAACACCAGCAAACACTGCAAACCCTCAGCTCAGACTGGAGATACACATTGTGGGTTGCGGAGTTTGTACTGTACCATTTTCTGTTCTTACAGAAAAATAATTTAATTATGAAAAACAAATACTTTTAGCATTTTCTTGTTATCATTCTTCACCATGTAAGTGCGAATTAGTCTATCTTTGGATTGTACTGTTAGAATACTTGATTTTATTTATTGTATGTATGTGAGTGCCCAGAAATGTGTGTACACATGTGTATGCAAGTGTGCTGACCTATGGGGTATATATGGAGGCCAGAGGTTGACATTAGGGTGTCCTCCTAAAGCACCTCCCCTTATATCCTGAGGCAGTGTTTTGCACTGATCCGGAGCTTGTTGTTTTGTCCAGACTGGCTAGTCTGTGACCATCAGGAAGATGTCTCTGCTCTCTCTGTACCAGGGTTACAGGCATACACCCTCACATCTAGATTTTAGGGAGCTGGGATTTGAACTTGGGTCTTTACGTTTGCATAACATATTACCCACTGACCATCTCTCCAGCCCTAAAACGCTTGATTCTAAAATTACTTTTGGATTGTTGACTTGAGATTCGTAAAAGGCCGTTAAATGAGTTTTACCCTGGGATTAGGACAGAATTCCAGGGGTTTCTGAGACAGTGCTGAGCACACTCTGTCGTTTTGTACTGTGTGTTTATGTCAGTGTTGTTCTCAGCATGGACAGCCATGAAACCAATGTATCAGGCAACTCTGAAAACCTGGAAATAGTCTACCTCCTGCAGCCAAGATTTAATTCAGCATTATTCAAAACAAACCAACACATCCATCTGATTAGCATGGGAAGTTCCTTAGTGTCTAATAAATGGTAAAATCATATATACACTGGAGAACTGTTAAAAATGAAATTTCTCTATGATTTGATACTGTAAATGCTTAGCTTATATGTGCAGGAAAGGGTTGTGAACAGAGGAATTTAAGAAACCCTGGTTTCACACACATACCTGAACACAACTGCTTTGTGAAATGAATGTATGGCAATGACTCCATAATTGGATTTAGAAAGCCATGTTTGGCATTTCTAGAAAAGGGATGAAGGAAAGCCTGAGGTTATGGTATAGGTATAGTATAGTGTAGTATAGTATAGTATAGGTACCTGTCTTTATAAGTTACAATTTAAGAAGGATGTTCTTGGAAACTGATAAATATATGTCACACAGGGACCGGCTACAGCACTTCAGATGCCAGAATTGTCTTAACTGAGTTTCAGGATGTTGTTTTGGATTACTGTGACGTGACCTTTGCCATCCTATTGATGAGGCTGATCCACAGTGTGTGACAGGACTCTCCTTCCTCCCTCTCTGGCCCATGTGCATCCTGTACAAACAGCACATGTCCCTGCAAGGTGAACTCCTAGACTGAGGGAGCTTGAGGGCAAATCACTCAGGCTTAATCGTCCTTTCGCACCCGACCAAAGCCCCTAGTACTGTGCGAAGCCTATCAAGGGCTTTTGAAATATCTTCCAAAGCAGGAACTTGTGTGTACACAATGGAGGAAGAAAATAGTTCTATTTCTCTAAAAAACAAAACAAAGCAAAACAAAACAAACAAAAAACCCTCTAAAACCAGTCCCCAGACAACGCCAGCCAGCCAACTAACCAACCAAGCGGCTGCCCGACGGTGCGACTGTCGACCTACTTGAATGCAATGATGTTGGGGTGTTTCAGCTTCCTCAGGTGCTTGATGTCCGTCTCGTTTTGCTCTCTCACTTTCTTGATGGCCACTTCCTCTGCTCGGAATTTGCCCAGGAAGACAGCTCCTTGGGCTCCACTCCCCAGCCACTGCAGCTCTGAGATCTCCTCAAATGGCACTTCCCACGTATCTAGGCACATAAGGGAGAAGCAAGTTCAGAACTTGGTGAAGCCACTGTAGGGGCCACTCTAAAGGTACCAACTTCACCCCATCTGGAACGACCCTACCCCCCGATTCCCACCCACAGATGTGACCTTCCTGGACTACTATACTGATAAATGTACATTTTTAACTGCTCGACTCAAGCAGGTCTGGGATCTCAGGAGGCCTTCCCCTAGAAACCTATACCCCGACACCCCAGCAACCTGACACTCCTCTCTACAGGTCAGGCTTCATATCCAGTCACCTTCTTCTGTCTGCACTCCACCCTTGCCCCACTACAGGTGCTTTTTCATTCTTCAGAGTGTCTGGTGCAGATGCTCAATGAATCCATCCCAACAACCTAGTTGGTACAAGCACTTCTTCGAGTTTGCCCTTACTGAGACTCACCACATACCAAAGATTTGCATAGTGATTTGCATATGTCACGTTTAATTTTTACCACCTCTATATGTCTGGCCTTATTTTTTATCCACCTCTCTCTCTCTCTCTCTCTCTCTCTCTCTCTCTCTCTCTCTCTCTCTCTCTGTATGTTCCACACCCATGCACACAAACATCACGTGGAGGTCAGAGGACAACCTTTGAAAGTCAGTTCTCTTCTTTCATTCAAGAATCTGTGATAAACTCAGGTCCTTACACTTGCACAGCAAGTGCTTCCCCCCCCCCTCCCCCCGCCCTTAGCACGATTAAAGACTCAGCACTAAGGCACAGCCGGTGGGTGACTGCTCAGGGTCCTGTGACTGGTAAGGCAGGACCAGCCAATGCTAGGGACAGCATCTCCTCCACTCTCCTGCACTGCCTGCTGTGCAGCTGGAGCGGGCTGGCTTTGGGCACAACCTGTCCACCCACAGAACTGCAGTTCTTTCAACGTTTGCTTTCTTTTAAACAATATTTTAAACAACTTTACTCCTGTGTGTGTGTATGTGTCTCCATGAGAGTCTGTCACATACATGTGGGTGCCCATGGAAGCCCGAAGAGGGTGTCAGAGTCCCTGGAGCTGGAGTTACAGGTGACCGTGAGCCACCTGTCCTGAGTGCGGGAGCTGAACTTGGGTCCTCTTGCAAGAGCAGTGCACACTCTAAATGCTGAGCCATCTCTCTCGGCCAAGGTTCTTGTTTCCCTTTTTTTGTACCAAATGAGTGATATTACTGCTAATTCATAATATATTTATCTTTTTCTATATTAGTTTTTAAAATACAAGCTTATATTATTTTCATAATGAATAAGTGTATTTTACTTTATTTTTGAGACAGGGTCTCAGGAGCTCAGACTGGCCACTGTATAACTGAGGATGCCCTGAACCCTTGACCCTCCTGCCTCTACTTCCCCAATCCTGAGCTTACAGGTATGTACCACCACTCACAGTTGAAGATACTATTTCAAATAAAACACTTCAAAATTCATCAATGTGTACTTTTATGTTACATACCCAAAGAGGAATGCACCCATGGTCCTCCTCAATGTCCCCTCCCCCTTCTGAACAGAGCGTTAGCCCAAGAAGTGAACACAGCAGAGCTGCAAGCCCCAGTGCGAGCAGGACAATGACCTCAGTCTAAAGGTCACAAGAGATTCCAGCCTCACCAACAAATGGTTTGCTGACCACTAATGGAAGCAGCTCTGAGTTCTGGGCTGTCAAACACCATTGCATCGTCAGGGAGTGGGGAAGTCACTCAGTATCCAGGAGACAGAGTACCCCTCTTCAGTTCTCTCAGGTCATAATAAAACATGGTTTCTTATAACAGTGGCTAAAGCTTGACCATAATATAACTGGAAGACCCTGCAATGCTCTTAACCCCCAAGCCACTCTCCAGCCCTCACACTGTGACTGTCTAGAGAAGGAAAAGGATTATAGTGGATTCTGAGCAGCAGTAGAGGTTCTGTCCTATTGAAAATGAATAGATGCTCTGCGGCAATCAGTCTCTCAGAAGCATCAACAGCTCACAAATGTGAAATCACCAAAGAAGCCAATGATGCCAAGTGAGGTCTGGGAGGACCGCAATTTGTAGGCTAGACTTTTTAAACATGTTTAAGGGATTTTTGTTTTGCTTTTTATTTTTTTAAATTTCAGTTATTATAGTGAGCAGCATAGTGAACATATGCATGCATGATATGTGCATGTGGCTGTGTGTATGTGTGCACATGTATGTGTACGTGTGTGTGTGTTTGTGTGTGTGTGTGTGTGTGTGTGTGTGTGTGTGTGTGTGTGTGTGTGTGTGAAGGTCGAGGACAGCTTTTGGGCATCAGTTCTCTCCTTCCACCATGAATTCTGGAGATGGAACTCAGGTTGTCAAGCTTATACAGCAAATGCTTCTGTTTTTCAAAACAATTTTTTTTAAAGTTTTATTTATTATGTATACAGTGTTCTGTCTGCATGTATGCCTGTAGGCCAGAAGAGGGCACTAGATCTCATTACAGATGGCTGTGAGCCACCATGTGGTTGCTGGGAATTGAACTCAGGACCTCTGGAAGAACAGTCAGTGTTCTTAACCTCTGAGCCATCTCTCCAGCCCCCCAAATTATTTATTTAGTATAAGTTTTTAAAATATCATTTATATGTATGTGCATGTACTTGCCTGAATTTATGTGCACCATGTGCCTACAAGAGCCATGGTGGCCAGAAGAGGGTGTTAGGTTCCCCAACACTGGAGTCCCAGGTGGTTGTAAGTCACCTGATGTGAACGATGAAACTCAGGGAGAGTGGTGTGTGCTCTGAGCTGCCAAGCCATCTCTCCAGCTCCAGCAAATGCGCTTACCCACCAAACCATCTTCCTGACACTTTTAAAAATAAAATAATTTATTTACTCAGATGCAGTTTTGCTGTGTCACCAGGCTAGCCTTGAACTCGTGATCCTCTCACTTCAGCCTACTGAATGCAGGATTTACAGTCGTATGACACCAGGCCTGGACTCATTATAAGATTTTTTTTTTATTTATTTTTATTTTTTATTTTTGGGGTTTTCTTTTTCAAGACAGGGTTTCTCTGTGTAGCAGCTCTGGTTGTCCTGGAATTTGCTCTGTAGACCAGGCTGGCCTCGAACTCACAGAGATCTACCTACCCCTGCCTCCCAAGTGCTGGGGTTAAAGGCGTGTGCCACCACCACCTGGCCCATTATAATTTTAATAGCTGTTTGCTATAGCCTTATATTTTGTGTGAGTGTGTGTGAGTGTGTGTGTGTGTGTGTGTGTGTGTGTGTGTGTGTGTGTGTGTGTGTGTAGGGGTGCCTGGGTGTGTGAGTGTGTGTGTGTGTGTGTGTGTGTGTGTGTGTGTGTGTGTGTGTGTAGGGGTGCCTGGGTGTGAGTGTGTTTGTGTGTGTGTGTGAGTGTGTGTGTGTGTGTGTGTAGGGGTGCCTGGGTGTGAGTGTGTGTGTGTGAGTGTATGTGTGTGTGAGTGTGTGTGTGTGTGTGTGTGTGTGTGTGTGTGGTGTGTGTGTGTGTGTGTGTGTGTGTGTGTGAGAGTGTGTGTGTGTGTGTGTGTGTAGGGGTGCCTGGGTGTGTCTATCCTTTTGCTTATTTAATTTGATGCCATTTCTTCATATTATTTCCTCAGAGTTAACCCCTAGGTTGGAGTACAAACAGTCTCTCAACTTTGGGGATAAATGCATTCCAAGCCACTAAACAAAAGGATTTTCCTGGTTGTTGCTGTTAGCACTGATGTCCAGATATGCTGGTTTTATCATAACTGTGGCAGTAATGAGCAATATTAATTATTGTTTCATTTTAACTTCCAATTTCCTGTATACCTGTCTTCCAAGTCAGGGACAGAAGGCTTTGTTTAGTGTCCACATCTGCTTGTCAGAACTGGCAAAACCTCTGCAGCACATCTGCTCAGGTCTTACAATCCCACACTCATCCCTGCCTCTGTATCCTTCCCCTCCACTGCGGAGGATGCAGTCTGTCTTCTGTGGTTCTCTATCGCTCATTTTTAAAGACGGCTCCGTGGTAAAGACACTGGCCATCAAGCCTATGGACTTGAGTTTGATCCCTGGGTCCCCGTATGGTAGAAGGAGAGAACCATATGTGGAGTTTATTTTGGCATATGATATGAAGGCTGATTTAAATGAATTTTTACCTATATAAATATTTAGCTATTTGTTAAATAACGCTTTCTGTTCAGGCTGTCTTATGATGCTTACTTATACTGTAATTACTATATTTTCAGAAGCAATGTCTATTAATTAGTAGTTTTATAAAGTGAGAAATGAACTATTAAACTGCAAATGACATGCATTTGGCATTCAAATTTCACCTGTTCCCAGTACCATGATTGCTGTGGGATGTTCTGTATGTCAAATGTGTTGCTGATTAGTCAATAATTAAAACACTGATTGGCCATTGGCTAGGCAGGAAGTGTAGGCGGGACAAGGAGGAGAATAAAGCTGGGAAGTGGAAGGCTGAGTCAGAGAGACAATGCCAGCCACCACGATGAGAAACAGCATGTGAAGATGCCGGTAAGCCACGAGCCATGTGGCAAGGTATAGATTTATAAAAATGGATTAATTTAAGCTGAAAGAACAGTTAGCAAGAAGCCTGCCATGGCCATACAGTTTGAAACCAATACAAGTCTCTGTGTTTACTTGGTCGGGTCTGACGGCTGTGGGACTGGCAGGTGAGAGAGATTTGCCCTGACTGTGGGCCAGGCAGGAAAACTCCAACTACACATGATAATACAATTCTCCAGGAACGGCAGCTCATGCTGTCACCATTTAGCTATGGTGACACCCACAGAGATAAAGGGTCTGTATGGGCAGCCTGAGAGAGCAAGAGAGCAGGAGACAGGAGCACTTCAGCTGTGCTCCTGGTAACCTTTGACTTGCATTAGCTACTGGAAGCAAAATGGACAGTTGCCAATTTAGTCTCCTTTGTTTAATCTCTAGGTTAACTCTCAGTAATTAGGAAGGGGCCTAACTACTAATACTCACAGGTAATCTATGAGAAGGAAAGGAAAAGTAAAGATCAAGACCGGACAACTTGAAAGGAAAAGAGTCATAAAGACACATAGAAACTGGGAGGTGGTGGCGCACGCCTTTAGTCCCAGCTCTCAGGAGGCAGAGACAGGCGAATCTCTGTGAGTTCGAGGCCAGCCTGGTCTTCAGATTAAGTTCCAGGACAGCCAAGGCTACACAGAGAAACCCTGTCTTAAAATAAAAAAAAGAAAACAAGCCGGGCGGTGGTGGCGCACGCCTTTAATCCCAGCACTCGGGAGGCAGAGCCAGGCGGATCTCTGTGAGTTCGAGGCCAGCTTGGTCTCCAAAGCGAGTTCCAGGAAAGGCGCAAAGCTACACAGAGAAACCCTGTCTCGAAAAACCAAAAAAAAAAAAAAAAAAAAAAAAAAAAAAGAAAACAAAAGAAATAAACAAACAAACAAAAAAGAACCAAACAAAACCCAAAACCAACCAAACAAAAGAGACACACAGAATTGAGCTCCTAGATCACTGCCAAGCAAGGTAGCTAACCTGGTCCCTCCTGCCTGCTGCTTTTCGACATGCACACTGGGACTTCCCCCGCGCTGTCTGTCCTTTGTTTAACTGCAATGACTACTATCTGTCCTGCATGGTCACCATGATCCACAGACTGAGGAAACCCCTCCTGCTCGCCTGCTTGAAGGCAGATGTTTTTGTCAGTGAGCTCGGACACGGCCATGGCAGTACCTGGTTGACACTGGAAACTACTTGGCAATAAAAGGTTTCAGTAACATGTACCACCCTAGGTACCACTACTAAAACACAGCAACATATGAAAAGGAAGACACAGACACAAGACCTCAAAAGTCTAGTGGTCAAGCAGGGGCGCAGTGTTATCCTCGGGTAGCCTGTGATGCAAGATTAAAGATTAGTGTCCTGATCTTGGAGTGCACAAGACAAGTACAACATTCAATTCTGGCTCGCAAGTCGCTCTTGGGGGCCATAGCAGTGCCAGCCCCCACTAGGATATACTGCAATCCTGATGGACTGGGCCTGCATCTGACTTATTTCCAAAATGAGCCTTTCTGAAAGTCACATGAAGATAAGTTAAATGCAAACTTGTAGAACAATAAAAGTCAAACAATGGAAGGGCTTCTTTTGGCAGGCATGGATAAAGATTTGTCTGAGTCCAAAGCTCAGTAATGCATTTGAATACAGAGATCTCCAAGTTAGGAGGCAAATTAGCCGAGACCAGACAAGCAGAGCCTCCAAGAACCACACGCAGCTGATTATAGAGAGGCAGAGAACAAAGCACTTCTAAAACAAATTAAGGCTAGGCATGGTGATACACATCCATAATCCCAGTGCTCTGGAGGCTGAGGCAGAGGGGCTGCTGAGAGCCAGAGGTCAGCCTGGGCTACACAGTGAATCCAAGGACAGCCAGGGCTACAAAGCAAGACCCTGTCCCAAAAAACAACACAAAAATTACCCATGAATAAATAAACAAAGGGCTGGGGTGTAGCTCAGAGGTAAAGCATCATCTGGTGCATGTGGAGCTCTGGATTTGTACCTTAGTAAGACACACACACACACACACACACACACACACACACACACACACACACACCCTCCCTGATATGTCTTCTGACCTCTGCATGCTCCACTGATATAGATATATAGGATATAGATATGATAGGATAAAAGGGTAGATTAATGAACCTACTTTTAAAGAACAACAACTTGTTTAAAATGTTTTACATTTGGTATAGATTTTAGTTTATGTTTAAAATGTTCTACATTGGTATAGATTTTGGTTTATTGATACAAGTTTAAACTTAATTTTGTTATACTGTATATATGCTTATATTCTCGTTTGAGGTATTATGTTTATGTAACTCATTTAGATTGGAATGGATAATTAAGAATACAGATTAATAATCAGTCTTCTATGATAGTCAAACTTCTAGCATGTTAGTTAAGTTTTCTAGGTATACATAGATATATTTCAGAGAGACAGGTAATCTTCAAACACTTCAAAGACCTACAGAATATGGAATTTAAAATATTTTTAAAAATTTAGACTTTCTGGACAATGAGACATGTCTGCTCCTGGCAGCACCGGTTTTACTTCAGAGAGGAGAATGGGTATTGAAGACACTCTGTATGGAGTTTATCTTCTTCTTGGCAAAAATAGCCATTTGGACAAGAAACTGTTCTTGCCTGGACATGCAGGACCCATAAGAAGGTAACCACTGAACTTTACTTGGCAAAATGGTCCTTCAGGTTCCTGCTTTGCAGAGGAAACTGCCAGACATTCTACAGGACACAGAGAAAAGTGACTGAGAGACTCTAGCCCTGTGGGCTGAAGACAGATGCCCCAACTTTACAAGGGAACTTTGGATGACTGTCCAGGCTACCAGCTGTCTCTGTCTACCCTACAAGACTCCCGAAAGTTGCCTGCATCCTTCTCCCATTTCTCAGGTAGTATTATATCCTTCTGAGGTCTTTGATGTAGTTGAAGACTAGTTATAATTTCCTCAGTTATGATAAAATATAAGTTAGATATAAAACCTTAGACTCACAAATATAAGATAGATAAGATATCTTCTTTAATATTGTAACTGTAATTCTTGCTTGATAATTGTTTTGTTATATGTAATTTTACTATGTTAAAGTTAAAACCTTCCTTTTTAAAAAAAAAAAGAGAAAGGAGAAGTGCTGTGGATGATTATTTGATAAATAAAACACTGATTGCCCAGTAGCCAGGCAGGAAGTATAGGTGGGACTAACAGAGAGGAGAAAGGAAAGGACAGGAAGGCAGGGAGGGGAGAAAAACCAGCTGCCGTTCAGGGAGCATCATGTAGAGGCAACAGGTAAAGCCACGGAAGACGTGGCGACATATATATTAACAAAATTGGGCTTAGTATAAGAGTAAGAGCTAGACAATGGTAGGCCTGAGCTAATGGCTGAGCAGTTTAAATAATATAAGAGTCGGTGTGTTTATTTTATAAGTGGGCTCCGGGACTGGCAGGGCTTGGAGGGAGCTGGAGAGAAACTCTCTAGCTACACTCCACCCTCTAGGTACATACACACATACACTCACACATAACAAACAAATAAAAATGTAATAAAAGTAACAGACCACAATCATTGTACCACCATTTATAATCACTAAAAGTACAAACAAGTGCCAAGCCAAAGGGATTGCTTAAAAATACCAGCACATTTAAATAATTATATATTATATAGCCATTAAAAATTATGCTTGCTGAAGGGGTCCAGGGCAGGTCTCAGTGCCAGAGCCTTTGTCTAGCATGTGCAGGGCACTGGGTTCAATTCCCAGTACAGCCCCAAATCAGAAAACAAAGAAAAGATGCTGAAGAGTTACATTTCAGAAATGGAAAAACCTTCTTTTTCAGTGCTGGAGGTTCCCAATGCCTCAAGCATGCCAGTTGAGGACTCTAGTACTAAGCTAAATCCCTAGGCCCTAGTGTTTTCCCAGACAGGGTCTTAGTCTAACCTTGAAATCACTATCATAGCCCAGGAAGACTGAATTGTGATGTTCCTGCCTCAGGCTCTCAAGTAGCTGAAATTATTGATATAAGCCACCAACTGCTTTAGACACACACACACACACACACACACACACACACACACACACACACACACCCTTAGAAGCAGGTACAGCTGAGGGAGGAGTGGGTACCAGCTGCCCAGCTCCTGGTCCCATAGTGTGGATTCTGTGCCCACTGTAGACTTCAAGCTGTGAAGCAAAGACAGCTATTTCCATAGTTTTTGAGACAGTGTCTCATTACATAGTCTAAGCTGACCAAGAACTCACTATGTAGACCAGGCTAGCCTTGAGCTTATGATGCTCCTCCATCAGCCTCGTAAATACAAGTATTAAACATCGCTATGTCCAGCCTGATACAGTCTTAAAATATTAATGATTATAATTTCTAAGATAAGGAAAATAGGTTATTTTCAACGTTGGCAGGAGCCTGAGTCATTTCCTCTTAGAGAGTAAACTACTTACAACCTCAAGAGCATGGTTCTTTTACTTCAAACTGGAATGTAGAAATATATGTTGCATGATGATGGGAGTTTAAGACTCAGTATTTTAAAATGAGAAATTATATGCTTCCCAAACTTGGTTAGTCTTCTGCCCTCAAAGTATGAGGCTGCTGTGTGCCCTTACTGCAAGACAAGAATTCCTTTTTATTACAATCTAGGGCGGTCCTGGAATCCTCAGGGATAGCATGGTGCCAGTTTGGTTTGAACTAGTCTAGTGGTTGTCCAACTTGTTTAGATGGGTTTTTTGTTTTGTTTTGTTGTTGTTGTTGTTTTTCAGGTGGAAGTCTCATTATGTTGCTTAGGATTGGCTGAACTGAGCTCAAGTAATCCTCCTGCCTCAGTCTCTGAATAAGTGGAACTATCAGCACATGTTACTATGCCTGATTTTTGCCATCAGACTTTTTGACTCTATAAGTTATCAGTAAAAAACCTAAACGTGGGTTGGGGATTTAGCTCAGTGGTAGAGTGCTTGCCTAGCAAACACAAGCAAGGCCCTGGGTTCGGTCCTCAGCTCCAGAAAAAAAAACACACACACACACCTAAACATACCCACGATGTCAATTATTCATAAGTTATATATCTATACAACTATATAAAAATATTAGATATCTTCAAAAACGTGTGAAAATAGACAATAAATGGGAGCGCTGACGCCTCCTTCTATGACCTCATGTGTGTACTCTACTGTATACACCATTAGGCTGCCTGATGACAAAGTCTATTTTGGCTTCAAGTAAAAAGGAACCCCCAAGTATGACTTTCGGAAAGCCTGTAGGAAGCTGAAACAGGGTGGTCACCTGACCTCACTGTCGGTGCACTCCTTAAAGATTACCAGTCATTGGTGGCAGGGGGGAGGCTGTGTAGTCCAAGAAGGGCCTTCCCAGGACTCACGTGCTCTCGCTTACCTTGCTGCTGAAGTTTGTAATCAGTGGAATATGCCTTCCCGATGATGTTCCACACGGGCCTGAGGCATCCGAACAGCCCTTCGAGAAACCCACCCCCGCTGCCGCTGCCGGACCTGCTGAACTGAATCTTGATGTCTTCAGTTCCGTTCGTGCTCTCTCCATCCACAGCGCTGCTGTTCCCCGGAGACACCGTCATCTCTGATTCATCCTGCTCCCTTAGCTGAAGAACACTGTTCTCAAACTGGCCCCTGGAATCCTCGCTCACACTGGTCAACACTGCTGTAGAGATGGGGCTGCCCGTGGTCTCCATCAGCTCTGGCTGCACAGCCTTCTCCTGGGGGTCCTCAGGGAGCTTGGGTGGAGGGTGGTTCCCCATAGCGGCAAGCTCATTGCGTCCACTAGAGGTTTTGTTCTCAGTCAAGGGCAAGTGTGGTGAAGAGGAGCAGCTCAGGTGCTCCTGAGGGCTGGCCATTGTGCCATGAGGGTGACCCAGGTCCTGAGACGGCACTCAGAGGACTATGGCAACAGAGGTCTGATGCAAGAGGGGAGTCCAAAACCTGGAGGAAAAAAGAGAACATGAGGCCGTTTTTTCCTTAGAGTTCACACTGCTCCACCTCTATGTACACAACCAAAGCACTAACACAGGGCTGGAGAGATGCCCAGATGCACTGGCTGCTCTCTCAGAGGACCTGGGTTTGGTTCCCAGCACACACATGGCAGCTCACAACTGTCCATAACTCTAGTTCCAGGGGATCTAATTGCTACTTACTTCTGACTTCAGCGGGCTCCTGCATGTACATGGTACACAGACACACACTCAGGCAAACACACATATACATAAAAATAAATACATGTTGTTTAAAAATCATAGAAACAATGAGGAGGTTGGGCAGGTTTATTACACATAGTGGAATACAGTGCAGCAGTGGGAAATAATGTTTTCACTACCATGAGAAACTGCTTATGACATATTAATATAAAGAGCGGTTAGGACAACACATTTGACCTAGGCTTAAAAGGTATTTAAAGGGTACTGAGCACATATTCAAAAGAAGAGACTGGAAGGACCCATACAAAAAATGAACAGTAGCTCACTGCAGGTGGTTGGAGTGAGAAGAGCCACGCAGTTGTGACTTCACAGTGTCCCAGCATGCTCTATTACCACTACCTTTTTGTTTGGAGACAGGTTATGTGGTCCTCTTGCTTCCATCTCCCTCTATTACCATTTTAATCAGAAAAAAGTTGTCCTTATCACCAGGGAGAAGCAGCTTGTTCTGATATATAATACATATAACATATTGGCTATTATAAACGACAATCCATCTTTTTCTCTGTTTCAGTGTCTTACACTGGCATCGCTTCTCCTCTGCAGCACTCAGTTCATAGACAAAAGTCACAGGTGCACAGCAAGGCAACTCCTGAACTATAACTGTTTTGTCACATTACACAATCTAGGGCAACACAACTAAGCCCCAGCTTCGTAATTATTCTTTGCTTCTGATCTACCCACCAGAAACACTGGGGAGGATGGAACCTCTGAAAACAAAGACTTGCTCCAGATTAGTCAGATTGACAAAAATCAATCTCAGATTTGTTGACTGCAGGCTAAGACTCTTAAAGCAGGAAACAAATGAAAAACGGGCAAATGAGATCAGATTAAACCAAAAAGCTTTTGCACGGCAAAAGAAACAATCTAACATTGTGAAGAGATGACCCACAGAATGGGGGAAAGTATTTGTGAACTATACATCTGATAAGGGTTAATATCTAGAATATATAAAGAACTCAATCCAATAGCATTAAAAATAACCTGACTTAAAATGGGCAATAGATAACAGAGTTAGGACAGTCAAGACCTCTGTGAGAAAATGCTTAATATCAAATTATCAGGTTCGTGTAAACCAGAACCACACGGGGACAGCATGTGTGGGCAAAGGCTGACTTCCATTGGTGGACTGTGAATTACTATTGTGGTTGTGGGAAATGGTATGGTAGATTTGCAGAACTACCATGTGACCCAGCAACCTGCTACTGTAGAAAGGACATGAAATCAGTCTGTCAAAGAGACAGCTGCATTCTCACATTTACTGAAGCATTGGTCATAATAAATAGAGACATAGGTATCCATCAATGGAGGAATGGATTGAGAAATGTGGTATATACAGAAATATTGTATATGATGTACATTTTATTCAGCCATAAAAGGATGATACACGATCATTGAGACAATACAGATGTAACCGAAAGACACACTGTAAGAAAAATAAGCCAGTCACATTGTAGCAGGTAAGACAGGCCTGAGCTCCCCGTAAGAAGAGAGGGCAAGCCCATGGTGACTCATAAGCTAGTCCATCAGTGTAGCCCTCGAACAAGAGAGAGAGACGTAATTCATCAGTGGCCTACAAAACAAGCAAAATGAGAGAGGTGGAGGAGAGAGAAGAGAGAGGCACGAAGGTGACCTGGCGGGAAGAGCAGCACATGACTGCCTCTCCTGGTGGATTCTTCACCAGTTTGGTCCCTGGTGTCCTCGAAGAACCACCAGTCTTGGGCCAGGTGAGATGGCTTAGCCAACAAAGGCTCCTGTCACCAAACCTGACAGAGGACCTGACTCCATCTCAGGAACCACATGATGGAAGGAGGAAACTAAGTTCCCCAAGGTTACCTCTGACCTCCACACGAGCCCGTGTGTGAATACACACACACACACACACACACACACACCCGTACATAAATCAACACAGTAACAAAGGATGACTAATCTCAGTAACGATGACCTCAGTCTCTATCAGTCACTGACAACAGTCCTATACAACGCCACTAATCTAGGTGGGAGCGTGTATGTATCTCTCTCTTGGGAAGGCCACTTGGGAGTTAATCTCACCTTTTTTTCTTTTCTTTTATTGAAATAGATTACGGTCTCCCCTCACTATTCCTCCCAGGTCCTTCCCACCTCCCCTTCCACCCAGACCCATACCGTTTCTGTCTCTAGTTAGAAAACAAACAGTCATCTGAGGAATAATAAGAAAATACAATACAATATAACACCATAGAATACAATACAGTAAGACAAATAAACAAATTGGAAGATAACAAAAACAAACAATAATCCCACTTCCCTCGATAAATTTCATTTCCTCACTCCTTCCCCCCAAGTCTCCACCCCTCATCGAATCAACACGAGACGATGTGAATTTAAGAGCCACTGGCTGGCAGTAGGGGGACTCTGGCTGAGAAGGAGAGACAGCAGGAGAAAGTATGGGACCCTCGAAGGAAAAGGCGTCCCCTGGATCCAACGGAAGCCTCTGCCAGCAGAGAAGCAAGAGTCCCACATGAGTACCAACTGTGTAAAACTCTGCTTCCTCCTCAGCCATCAGCCTGAAACTTTCTAGGAATCTCCCCAGGAAGCTGCTGGCGGGGAAGGGCACCACCAACACCCCACCCCCCCCACCCCGTGCAAACCTAGCAGCTCCTGGTTTCACCTCTATAACTCCACTCAAGGCATTCTGGAGCCACTTCAGCTATCCCACTTAACGAAGAGAGAAGAGAAAGGTTTCTTAGCAACCTTGTGAACTGTAACTTGAGAGCTCCGAGATGTTATATGAGGTTAATACCAAGACAATTAATTACTTTCCCGACTCTCCCTCGGGAAGCGCATACCCACATCTGGATGTGTGCTTTTTCTGAGTGCCTCTTTCGCTAACGTATATACGAAGACAGCTTCTCCAACACCTCCAAGGCCGCTTCACTTCACTGGCTCGTCTCTTTTCATTGTCAAAGCCACCAATCGCAGTTAGGCCCAACTTAAGGTCCCTAAAAGTCTAAGAGAAGTCCCGGGCTGCAGAGGGTGAGCACTGTTCCTTCAGTGCTGACACGGTGGCCACTAACCAGCCTGCACCCCAGGACCCTCAATAAAGCTCACTAGGGCTGAGAGGGGCTCTGTTGCTCTTAACAATGCAAGAGCAACTGGTACTGTGTGGTGATGTTGTGTTCCCCAAAATATTGTGCACCCTAATAAACTTATCTGGGGTCAGAGAACAGAACAGCCACTAGATACAGAGGCCAGAAAATGGTGGCACTCACTCCTTTAATTCTAGCATTCTGAAGGCAGAGATCCTTCTAGATCTCTGTGAGTTCAAAGCCACACTGGAGACAGCCAGGCATGGTGACACACACCTTTAATCCCAGGAAGTGATGGCAGGAAGCAGAAAGGCATATAAGGCGTGAAAACCAGGAAGTAGGCCTGGTTAAGCTTTTAGTCTTTTGAACAACAGTTCAGCTGAGACCCATTCTGGATGAGGACTCAGAGGTTTCCAGTCTGAGGAAACAGGATCAGCTGAGGAATTGGCAAGGTGAGGAAGCTGTGACTTGTTCTGCTTCTCTGATCTTCCAGCATTCACCCCAATAACTGGCCCTGGGTTTGTTCTCATTAATAAGACCATTTAAGATTCATGCTACAGTACCGGATGGTCCCAGGCACATGCAGAATAAAAAAAATCGTACATTTTTTAAGACTCAAGAGTAGAGTGCTTGCAACCAGACTGACAGAATCGAGGATATTCTAAAAGACAGTGTCCCTCACTTTGGCTACCAGACTGCTGAAACAATCAATGGCCCCCAAGAAACAGAATTCTCACGCTGGGAGGAGAAAACAGCTGAAGCCCAGGGCTGGGCGGAGGGGACACAAGGAGACGAGCAACTTGTTGGAGGACCTTGCGGAGAAACTGGAGCTAAGACAATGATGGGTTAGTTATGGCGCGTCAGTGGACAGGACTACACCCTGACCAGAATTGCTTAGTTGTGTGCAACTCTAGCTCTTTACTTAAACCTATACATCATGCTAGGACCTTGAAGATGGATGTAGAGCAGGAATGAGTCAGTGGACCTCTTTGCCCCTCTTCTCGATGAGTCATATTGACTGGGTCTGCCCCCACTCCCTGTCTCCCCCTCTCTCCTTGTCTCTCTCCTTTCTCTGCCTCTGTCTCTCTCTCTGACTCTTGACTTTCACGACCAATTTATCCCTGTAATTGGCTTTCTGTGGACAGCTGCACCTGTCCTGTTAGGGACACCAGACCTTAATAACTCTGCTAACACACTGGAGAGCAGAGAAGGAGAGATGGAGACGGGTCATGGTGGTGCATGCCTATAATCCCAGCACTCAAAGGTAGAAGCAGGAGGATCAGGAGTTCAAGACTAGCCTGGGCTAGGTGAGACCCTGTCTCAAAAAACAGAACTAAAAGTATTCTGGGATGGGGATGGCTCAGCAGGAGAGTGCTTACCTAGAAAGACTGATGCTGAGACCAGGCTGTGCCCTGCTCTAAGTTACGTCACACCATGGACACAGTAGTTCTTTAGGCCATGTCTTGTTCAGACACTGACTCCATTTTAAGAGGATGATTGCATACCTGGGTAGACAGGCAAACCACACCATGTGGCCTGCAGCACCCAGGCAACACAGACTGAAAAGCAACTTATTCCTGGGAGTAGAAAGGGTGCTGTCCTATACACTTACCAGGATGAATTAAGACTGTTATGGCACGTGTACATATCAAAACTGTAG